GTGGGAGAAATGTTTGGCACTGCATGATTATATATCCATTCCTAGTTAGTGGACTATGCACCTGCCTGTAATGGGAGTGCATAGTCCACTGTTTTTTGCTTCGGGCAGTCTGCTCATGTGCCAAGGAACCATACACGCAGGCATGCTGGGCATGCACAATCAAAATAAGATTTACATACAGGAAGTACATGTAGCATGTAGGTAGTCCCCAAAGGGACTACCAAGATGGAGTCTGTAGAGGACACTTTTATAACCTATTAGGCTTACTGGGGAGCAAGACTTGCAACAAGTCCTAAGCTGTTCTGACAGTGTCAGGTTTCAGCAGCCGTATTATGGCAGAGCCTTTGTTCATTTTGTCATGACAAGTGCACTGTGTTTGGGAGAGGGTGTGGCCTGGGCTCTGCTTAGTAACAATATCCCTTTCATAACCTGGAGTTAATTAGCTCATCCAAAATGGAGATACACCCCACTGATTTCAACTGGAATGAAATTTGGGCAAAACAAGGGCAACAAATACATACCCATTCTCTGGAAAGTGGATACTATATATTGGTTGCACAGACAGAACTGTCACTTTGACAATATTCTTTGGAACACTTTTTGAATCAGTATATCAATAATGGTAGTTTCTATACATTGTATTTTTTGTCTTAATTTGTATGTTGTGAGCCCCTTCCCCTTGGCATCAAGCATCTTCTCTCCAATATTTCCCAGTCTGAGCAGTGCTTGTCCTATATAAGACAATCTGTGTGGGATGCAACCTATAACAAACAACATTTAATTAAATATATATTTATGCATGTATTTGCATAATTAGTAACTGAATAACAGATTGTTAAGACAATACAGATTACTTACCCTCCCATTACAGAATAGATGAATGTTGAATGGTTGTCTATTCGGTGTCGTCATAAAATTACACGATAAATGCTTTGCACTTTCTTTTACTGGACTTAACAGTTCTTAAGCAAGGTGCTACTTCACTGGGAAAGGACAAAGCTGCAATCACTTACTTGGTCTATGGAAGCAGTGTGTAAGGCCTGGGTGTAGAACTTCACCTTGGAGTTCCAACCCAGCCAGAATGGGGTTTCCATCCAGCCCTGCATGGTTCCACTAAGCAATTTGGGAAAAGAGGGTGGGACTGGGGAAGGGGGTATGGCCATCTGGGGAGGTCTAGGGAGCTTGATTTGGATCTGAGGCACGGAGGATGGAGAACTCTGGGCTTGAGGGTTGCCCCGTTCTAGACCGGCACCCTGTGCATGTGCACCTACCTGCTGCACAGTGCCTGAAGTGGGGTTCACCTTTACCTTAATTTCATGCAGCACTTGGTCTCGTTTTAAAACCTATCCACATGTGATCTGTTCCAACTCCGACAGTAACAATGGGGTAGCAGAGGCAGACAGAGTGAAAAAGGGAAAGTCGCAACCACTTCTGGCTCCCATCTGACCTATCATTCATTTTGGCAGCATTTGGCCCCAGATGGTCCTTCAGTAACTGTGGCTCTTCATTCTGTTCTCCATCCAGCCTTAGGGTCGGATGAGGAGCACAAAGAACCAAAGCTCATTGCCTGACTTTGGGCTAGACCAAGTCTTAGCTGAAGCAACCTCAGTGTTGTTGCGAGGTTATCATGAAGGAACTAGAGAATGTGTATTCTTCACCGAGCTGCTTTGAGGACAGGAGATAAAAACATAATGAAGAAATAAAGACAAGTTAAATGGAGTTATGAAGCTTTGTGAGACACTTCCATGCTTTAGGTTACATTACCTAAAACATTCTCTAATATTTCTGTTTCTCTCAAAAATACACCATAGATAAAACATTAAATCCTAATGGGGCTTCCCTGTCCCCCACAAACAATTGTGAACTCCAGAGCAGAGATTTTCCTTAGGAACATAACGGGCAGAAATGGTTACATTTTCTCTCTCTCTGCTTGCCATGATCTCTTAATGGCCATTCTTTACCTCTCAAGCAGTTTCAATGTTTAAAACAACCTGAACCTTAAATGCAAAGATGCACTCAATGCACTTTCAGCCAAATCGAATTTTGGAGAAGCAAAGGAAGGCAGTCAGGGGCTACATTCCAGTGCAGAGTAGGGCCTAAGACAAAAAGGCGGGATGGGGAAGAACACCAAGAATACCATCCTGGTTTGCAAACACAGAATAATTGCAGTTCAAGTAAGGAAAATTCTGCACACTCTTAAGAACTGCAGTGGTCAGCTGAGTTTATAGGAAGGGCGATCTATAAAGTGGACTGCTGAAGTGATATATTGGTTATTGACTCCCTGTAGTGTACTGCTGGACTCCAGTCATGAAAAATTAAATGTCACCGCCTCTGTTGTTAAGGATGAGGAATGCTGATGGCCTGTTGAGAAAACTGCATTGTGTGGAACAGCAGCAAAGCAAAGACAAGTGGAGAAAAGTTGCATAGCAATTTCTCTTAGTCAGATCCAATTAGAGATGCAAGTTAGAGCAGGCAAATAATATGATGTAGCACCAATTAGCTGCATTTAAGTGTCATGAAAATGTAGCACACTGTACTAGTGTTTCTTTTCTTTTTGCTGTTGAAGAAGAGGAGAGGGTCTTCCCCAAGCCTACAGCAGGTAGGATGAACATACAACCCTTCAGATCTTGTTAAACTGCAACTCCCATCAGCCCTAGCCAGCAATGCCAATGGTGAGAAATTGAGCTGTGGTCCAAGGGCATCTGAAAGCCACACTTTCCTAATCCCCATCCTAAAGGCAAAGCTGCCAGATACATAGACCAGAAGTACAGCTCTGCGCCAAGCAGTCTGTGAGATCTACTGCTAAAAGCTGGGGTGATCATAACCCTAAATAACTGCATTGGCAGGGAATTACAAAATGCTACAAGAAAGGCACTTTCTGCTAACAGATTTACTATTTAGACTGAAAAAAGGACTATTTTTCTGTTTAAGCTTGTGTAGGATATCATTGTAAGAAGTCTTGCTGGAAATTGATCAAGCATTTGTGGAATGTTAGGGTCAGATATTTTAAGGCAGCCTTCCCCACTGATACCTGCTTAGACAGGACTTTGGTATGTTTCAAGGGATGAGCATGGCATACACAGCTCACGTTGGACCTGGGGATTTTGAGTTTTTGAGTCTCATCATGATTGACCGGCAGTTCTTCCTCCATGGCTGATTTAGCCCTGTAATACTAAGTATGGGGAAAAGCAGCTCAGGAAAGAGGTGCTACGCTGCCTGGGGAATGCTGGGAATTGTGGGGCTTTTTTCCATGCATGAAATGGCACCCTTAGAGTCACTGCATCCACCCTTGAGAATGCATTCCCAATGATCATTAGCCAGGCACCCAGTTTTGAGGGTTAGATGGTTTCCTAAGGTCCATTTCTTCTCACAGGCTTTCTTTTCCCTTAGGTGTGAATCCAGCAAGACATTGTTTGCTGCACGTGGCAGAGGATTTCATTTTATTGCTTCCTTATCATGGTATGGTTTTTATACCACATTTTAGTGGTGCCAACATTGTAACTGTGTACTATGGTGTAGTGGCCAAGTGCTGGAGTGGAACTCAAAGAGATCTAGGTTCTGGTCCCCATTCAGCTATGAAATGCCCTGAGTGGCTTTGGGTCAGTCACACTCCACTGAACACACCTCACAGGGTTGTTTTTGTGAGGATAAAATGGAAAGGAGCAGGAACTTGTAAACCACCTTGGGTTCCTTGCAAAAAGAAAAAAAGGCAGATATAAATTTAATATACAATGACAGTAGTAATAATAAGTTCACTAATTCGATAACTGTGCAAATAGTTACTGGCAATGCAAATAATAAAAGGGACTAAACCTTGTATGTGCGCATGTATTTATTCAAAATGAACCATTCTGCTTCCGGAAAAACCACCATGTCGTTATAATGGAACTTCCCTTTATTTTAACTCCTTCCATCTATTTTCCAAGTCATCCTTTGGGTGTTGAAAGTGAGGATCAGCACGTTTAGACAGGAAAAACTACTACAACTCCTAGCATCCCCCACCCAGTATGGCTGTCTGAAGCATGCTGGGAGCTGCAGGTATTTTTCCTGTCTAAACATACGGAAGGTTGCATGCTTAGGCAGAAGCAGCTTTTACAGTGCAGTGCCGCTCATCCAGGGGCCGGAACGGCCGGGAAGAATGAATGGCAGCGCCGTCCACCCACGTGCCTTTCAGCGGAGGATTAAACCGCGCTCGTCCTTCCTCAAAAGAGCCGCGGCCAGGCCGGGCCAACACGTGCCGCTCCGGCTGCCGGGCCCTGGGAGGCGCTTGAATGAGCGCTCACGTGGCTCTGTCCCCATTCAAGATTTCCCTCTCTGCCGCGCCCTCCCTCCCGATGCTCTTAATCAGAACTAGTAATCAAGCGCTTCCTGGACTTAAATCGCCGGGGACGGATAATCCGGGGCCAAGCTGTCCTCGCGCTCCAGCCCCAGATGAGAGCGGCGGGAGGGGAGGCCGCCGCTGCCGCCTGCTAGCCGGCGGATCCCTCCCTCCGACTGTCAATGGCGGCGAGCCCCGCCGCCGGCGTGCAGTCAATGGGGAGCGGGCGAGAAAGAGGGCCAGGGCCGGCTCTCGCGGCCCCCTCCCCCTCGGCTAAGAAGCTTACCTCGTGGCAGATGTTGACAGGCGCCCAGCCAGCCAGCTCCGCGCTCTCGGTGGGAGGGGAGCCAGCCGCTCGCCCGGCAGAGCGGGGAAAGCCCCCTTGCCGGGCTAGGAAGGCGCTGCACCGCGGCGGCGCTGCGCTTTGCAAGCCGCCGCGACTTTTTCCCGCCTTCGCGAGCGGGCGAGCGGCGCGCCAGCCGCGGGCTCCGAGCCGGTGCTGCTCTGCTGGATCCCAGCCAGGACTAGCCCTGCAGCTCGGGTCGAGCGGGGTGGCGGGAGTCGGTCGGCTTTGCGAGCTTTGCCTTCCGCTGCTGCCCAGTCTCCCGGCGGTGGGCGGGAAGCTAACTCCTGGCGTCGCGTCTTCCTCGCCTTTCCTAAACAATTTCGCGGGGAGCCTTCCATGCTCTCAGGCGGGGAGATGGCGAAGATCAGGGTGGCGTACGAGTACACCGAAGCGGAGGACAAAAGCATCCGGCTGGGCTTGTTCCTGATCGTCTCCGGCATCGTGTCGCTTTTCATCCTGGGCTTCTGCTGGCTAAACCCGGCCCTGCAGGACTTGCAAGGCAAAGCGGCCAACTGCACGGTGCTGTCTGTGCAGCAGATCAGCGAGTTCTTCGAGTGCACCTTCACGTGCGGCGCCGACTGCAAGGGCACCTCCCTGTACCCCTGCCTTCAGATCTACGTCAATAACTCCGAGTCCAACGCCCGGGCGCTGCTGCACCAGGATGAGCACCAGCTCCTCGCCAACCCTAAGGTAAGACCAGCCACCTCGCGGCGTGGGTGGCTGGGTAGGTGGATGGCGGAGACGGCCGCCGTTGGACGCCACGAGCCGATCCGGGGAAGGCATCATCAGGCGGGATGGTCTCTGGGCATGTGCAAAGTCACTCTCCTGTACCCGCCGAAGACCCTCTGCGTGGAGGAAAAGCGGGGTTGAGGATAAAGGGGCGTGATTGCAGGCGGGGTTGAATTTAGAAAGGAAGCCTCGACGTGGTTCCCCGCCCTTGCCGGCAGCGCGGAGCAGCCGGCGAACTCGAGCGCGAGCAGCCTCGAAGTGGAAGGCTCGAGGGACCACCGGCGCGGCTGGCGTGGTGCTCTCTCCCTGCGGAGGGACGGCTTCTGGAGGGGGGTTCCGACGATCTTCCCAGGGCAGCCTGTTTAGTTCGCAGGTGTCGGGATTTGACGCTGGGTGGGCGTGGGTAGCCCCAGTCGCCGTCCGACTTCCAGCCTTCCACCAGCCGGAGCTGACCGGTTGCGTTGGCTTAGAGCTCCCGGCACCCGGGCAGCGTTTGCCTGGACCAGAGGCAGCTGGCAAATTCAGCGGCTTCCTCAGCGCCAGAGAAGCTTGCCAGATGTCCCTTGCCCAGAATATGATGTACTGCCTACAGTGATGTGTGGGCCTCCATTTAATTAACCACCTGGGCTGTGGAGTAGCTAAATCCGAGAGCGGTAGAAGCTCAGCGTCTTTTAAAGCCTTGTATAAAAGTGGGAGTTGCCATTAAGTGCAGTTTGTGCTTGCAGAGCCCAGGGGCTGAGAAAAGTTGGTGTTGCTTTGGAGCTTCTATATAGCAAACATAGATGTTCCTATGAAAAGGGCAGGGGCGCCACCTCTTTTATAGGACAGGGTCTTCTGTCCTTTAGGTAGGGCTTGCCTGAAAATTGGTTTCTCCCTGGAACTTGTTTTCTCCATGAGCATGTGAAGTAAGAGCGCCTCTGAGAATGTGCAGTTTGCTTGCTTTTCTAGCTAGGGACTAGACCCAGCCTCAAACCCCCATTCAGCCTTGGCACAGTAATGCTTTTTCATGACATAACCCACTGCACAGGGTTGCTGTGGCAATAATTTTTGGTGGAGCTATATAGGCTGCCTCGTGCTCCTTAGAGCCAAACTGTACATGATGGTTTGGCAATGGCGTGTCTATTACAAATCTAAATCGCCATCAGGACATGTGCGTGTCTGTTCCACCCAGAGAGTTTAACCTTGTCCCCGTGGAAAAAAAATCCCCACCCACCCACTGATGGGAAGGTCTTTGGCATGGGATGAAAGATGAAATGATTAAAAAGATTTAGTACCAGTTCCACTCTGACCCTCTATGGAGGAAAGCTTTGCTATTCTCATTTTGCAAATAGGGGAATGAGGTTGAGAGGGTGTTACTCACCCAATACCACTCTGTGGGTCCATACCTGAAAAACCATCAGCTTTCCTTTGTCCCCTTTTCATAGTCAGAAGTTTCCATGGTGAAAGTTTTCTAGGAATCCTTTCTGTTCTACTTTCCTACTTGGTCCTAGCAGCAGATGTGCCCACAAAGAGTTTGCCATGGAAAGGGCTGTAGCTGTGCAGAGGCAGCTAGGTAGGGTCTGATTAAAGATGAAGAGATGTCTAATTAAATCCAGGGGATGAGCCACAAAGGGGCTTGATTGTAGCCTGAAATGCTGAGATCCATTAGAGGCAGTGGGGGCAGGCTTGGTCTGTGCCTACCACGATGGGGCCCGAGATAAATTACCCCCCCCACACACACACACCTGCATGGAATTGGTCCAGCAATTCCCTAAAAGGGAATAGGGGGGAGCAGCTTCTGTCAAAAGCCAAGATGGGAAGAAAGAACCTCATCCTGTTGGAATATAAATCTATTGAGAATTGATGTGGCTAAGAGATTACACTGCAGATCAGGCAGTCTCTCATTCAGATTTTGCTTCTGCCATGAGCTTATAAAGAGGACTTAGGCAAGCCACTTGCTTTTAGCCTGGTTCATTATTATTGTTGTTGCTACCAATTACCTGTAAGCAGGCGAGGTTGGATTCTTTAGGTCATTTCATAGGTGACATGTCTGGGATCTCTAGATTGCCAGAGTGGATACTTGACAGGAGACTGCAGCTAGTGCCACTGTACTGACAAGTTTCCTATAAAGTGCCTCTGTTTTTAAACACGTGTCCTTCATTTTCCTCTTTCACTTTCTGAAGGTGCAGTTAAAGACTTTTCTGATTCAGCCTGTGAACTGAAGCCCTTGAGAGGCAGGGAGGAAATTAACAAGAGTTTTCTAAAATCAGCAGTGCAGTTCCATTCTGAAGGAGAGACTAAGAGCAGTTATTACAATCTAGGCAATGTCTGCATTTCTTACCAACATAGTGTTTTTCATTAATAGTGGCAACTTAACATTTGATCCTTTTTCATTGGTGAGGGAAACATGTCTTACCATTATTCACTGTAAGAGGTGTAGGTAGAATTATTCAGTCTTTTTTAATAGCTAATGGTTGTGAGCAATTGGAAATGTGGGTGGCAAAATCATGGCTACTCTGAGATATTCTCCCAGTCATAATTTATCTTCTCCCATGTTCATAACAAGCATTAAAGGACTGTTGGCTGTGAAAGTTCTTGCCACATTAAATCAGTTAGACTTGTGATGAAGCTGTGATGGTATTTCTGCGGTTATAGACTAACCAATGGTTTCTTTTCCTGGAACTTGCTTCTCAGCCTGAGATTTTCAAGTGGCAGGAGAGGATCCACCAATAGATCTTGGGACTTCATAGGTGGGTTAGCAGATAATTGCAGTGAATTTTCAGAGCACCCCAAGAGGACTACTAAGAAAATAAGTTTTGTGCAGAATTATTAACATATAACTTGCTCAGAGCACCTTCAATGGATACACTCTGTATTCAAATAAATAAATAAAATCTGGGCCAAATAGATTAAGTCTGAAAGCTCCAAGATTTTCCTTACATTTGGCCTTTATTGTTAAATTCACTTCATGCTTGTAATCACTATTTATTTATTTCACTTCTATGCTGCTCCGTAGCCCATAGGCATATAAACAAGCAACAAAATAGCCATATTTCAATAAAACCAATACAACAAGGTCAACAAGAACAACACACAGTGACTATAATCAAGTTGACATACGGCACACCAGCAATAATGATAAAAACAATATTAAAAGTAACAATTATCTATTAAAATATCTGAAAAATAAAAATGTTTTCAGCTGGTGCTGAAAGGACAAAAAAGGATGGTGCTAGGCTCACTTTGGGGAGCATGTTCCAAGGATGGGGTGCTGCTATCATCACCTCTGGCTCCTTCCCTTCCCCGGTTCAGATTTTTCTAGAAGCACCGAAAGAGGCTCTTTTTTTTTGCGGATCGGAATAGCTGTCTTGTTGTTGCAAAGCAAACAGAGACAGCACCAGTGAGAGAATCTACTCACTGTTTGCTAGTCAGTGCTGGCCATCCATGACTAGTGACTCATTACTTTGTCCTTTTTTTAGTGTTGCTGAATGGCCTTGGAAAGTTTAGGAATAGCACTGAATGGCTGTCATACTGTGATAACTGGTTCTGATGTGTAGGCAAAGTGCTGCAAAAAAAGGCAAAAAGGTGCCAACTTCGTTTGAAAAGTTTCCTTGAAGACTTTCCCTCCCTTGTCCTTTGCATTTGGCTCACAATTGAAAGGTCCCTATTTAAATGCTGGGAAGGATGTATTGTGATTTATTGCAGTGTCTCACAGCTCCTAGTCTATAGCAGCAGCCTGTGGTTTGTAAGCATGCCATTCTGAACAAAGAAGAAATGCTAAATATAATCGCAATCAGATATAAATTGCGGTTAAATCTTTGAGCGTAAAAAGTTGAAAGCCTTATGAAACAGGCATGGACAATTTGGCAGAAAGAAAGCAAAAACGTTTCACAGCTGGCCCAGAGGACCTTTTTCCCATGGGGCATCTCTCAGGCACTTTACACTAGGGTGGGCAGGGCCAGAAGTGGAGGTGGGCGGAGTTGAAAAGAAAAGCAGGAGGGACCAGAGCTAGAGGCAGCCCACTTAATTTCTTTGTGCTCCAGCCCCTTTCTCTTTATTACTCCATTTCTCTGGGTCTTTCTCTTTCCTTCCTCCCCACACCCCACCGAACATCACCTTTCATAGGAATTGGGGCTCTTTTTGTGAGCCTAATTGCAAGTTTGAAACTAAGGAGGGAACACAGGAGCCTTGCAAGCTGCCTTATAGCAAGTCTGGCTGCATGTACATCAAGCCTAGTACTGTTGCTGCTGAGTGATAGATTCTTCCATGGAGCCATAGTCAGGGCCCAAAGATGCTGTGCGCTGCATTTGGTACATGTGCCAATGGTTCCTCACCCCTGATTTAGTAGGTGCAGGGCTTGAGATAACATGAACCCATTGCTCCAGACTAAAGTTTTTAGAGGAGCTATCCACATCCTTCCTTCAGGCACTGAGTAACACTTGGTGTGGAGCAACAGCGGGAAAAGGAGAAGGACATGAACCTACTGCCCCCATGTCCTGGTGGTGGACTTCCCATAGGTATTGTGTTGGCCATTGTGGGAAGTAGGATGCTAGTCTAGAGGGAATGTTGGTCCCTTAGTATCTTCAGTTTCTGTCTTTGCCTGACACTGCAAAAGTGAGCTCCAGCCCACAGACAGAGGGAAGGGATGCCATTTTATCACATTTGCTTTAGGTGCAAAAGGTACTTCTAGGGAAATGGTGGCGAACCTATGGCACTAGTGCCACAGCGGGCACGCAGAGCCCTCTCTGTTGGTACGTGAGCCAAGTCTCCCCAGCATTGTACCAGCAGCCAAGCATTGGAAAACAGCGCACCTAGGGGCCATGCGCATGCTCGGAAAGGAGTAGTGGTGCCAGGCAATGATGTCACAAGCCATGACACAGCTGTGACTTGTCTGAGCTTTCACATGACTGCTCAGTGCTCTGCCAAGGATATATATATATATTTGCTTGGACTGGCAGTTTTCAGGTTTTATTGCAGTGTTG